TGTATCTTGAATGATGCTTGCATGAAGTTGAGGAATATATTTATAATTCTCTCAAACATTTGTTTTCAATTTTTATATATTTAAACTTATTTTTAATTTAATCAAAGATTATTATAGTATTATTATTCCAATAGACATACTGTATGTGTGTGTGTGAATTATGGTTCTCATCATACACTAAGGTAGATATACTAATCTTTCTTGGATCTCTATCGACGAATTAATCTTCTTCCTTGTTCATCTTGTATTGTCGAGAGCCTTATGGTAGCATTATGAGTTTTCGTAATCTCAAATTATAGGAGTATTTAACGTGAGTATTATCAAATTTAATTTCAAGGTTGTGCATCTCCTCACCCTCAATTCTCTGTTCATGAACTTTCACAGCTTTGTACTCTAATAATAAGATGCACGAAGGCCAGCTTGATTCCACTTCATTCCTGGGGGGTCTTCTAACTCGCGGGAAAGGCATGGAGTGCGCTATCTGATCCTATTAATCTCCAAGAATTAACAGCAAAATAATAATAATAATAATTAGGAATTGGATTCTCGATTGCTTTGATTCATCCATTAGACCATTTAAGTTTTAAAAAGAGTGAGATTTTTTTTTCTTTTTTATTTAGGAGATTTCTATTAGCTATTTATAATCTTATTTTAAGAATTTTAACATTTCTAAAATATCCCTATAGAAATGAACATAAATATCATCAACTTATCATTTAATTATATTTTTTTGAATTTTTTTTCTATTTTATAAAATATGACTCTAACATGACACCCGTAAGGATGATCGATCGAAGATTAAAATGGGTTGTATAAAATAGTGATGATTAAGAGATTTGTAAAAAATAAATATATGATTGATAATTGAGATATTATTTTTTTATTTTTATATGATTATACAAAACAAAATATTATCAAAATAAAAAATTCTATTATTTATTATAATAAAAGTATTTAATTTTTTTTCTCAAGTGTATTTAAGTATAAAAGGGAAGAACAATGCTGAACAACATCAAAGCAAGACCTTAAAACCTGTAGGTTGTATTTGGTTTTATATATATATATATATATATATATATATATATATATATATATATATATATATATATATAGTTGTGGCAACAAGTGAAAGTGGCATCAGGTGTACCATCTTCACCACAAAGCAACCTTTTCCTGCCACAGCAATTATTGTTGTATGGTTGGAGAGGTTGACCTAAAACGGTGAAACGACATGAGAACGGAAGAAAAGAAAACCTCTGTGGGGTGTGGGGAATGGGTTACGTTCTTTCTGGTTTCCTTTTTCTCTTCCCATCATGTCTTATCCTCTCCTCTTTATTGAGCCGACGGTGTGTGCGATCAGAGAGAGAGAGAGAGAGATGAGGTTGGCGGTTCCATTTGCTCCGTGGATTAGTTCGCCGTGGGGGGCCCCGCGGGATGGGTGGCGGGCAACTCAGAAAGTTGTGGGCCAATTTTGTGGCGCCCACCATCGACCCTGTCAATCATCCGTAAACCCCACTAATAATAAACCAGAGATGATTATAAGTTTTATTATTTTATTTTATTTTATTTTTTTATCTGCTATAAATATTATTTCAAATCACTCGGTCGGTTCTGATGAATTTTCGGAATTGATTTCATATCATACCCTTATCAAACATTCGAATAAATCAAATTCACATTGAGGCTATATTTTACTTTAATATTAAAAAATAATATTACGTCAAATAATGTATATATGATGCCATAATGCACTAACCAATTCGATTGTTGCTTTAATACGAAACACACTACTTTTGCAATACCTTTTGATCCTCCAAAATATGTCACTGCATTCTCGTAGCTTTCTCTTAGTATTATGTATTTACATCAAGGTATATATCGTACCAGTATTTCAAGGTTGACTCAATACGATACAGTACCGACGTACTGAACGGTATACCAAGACATACCGAATGGTACGTCAAGATTTACTGAGCTATTTTCTCTTATTGTAGCACTGTAGTACTCTATAATGTATTACTGTAGTACTCTACAGTATACCACTGTAGCACTGATACAGTGTATTACTATAGCACCGTAACACAATCCATCCGGTAATGAGCGATCCGTGTACCGGTATATCGTCGAACCGGTACGTACCGTCCGTACCGGATGATACAATTCGAAATTGTATGCTATGATTTACATTCCAACTTTTTTTTTATCATAAGAAAGTGGTCGAAGAAAAATGTCGATAGTTTATAATTATTATTTTTATTCTTTTATGGTTTGAATAATTAATTAAGATTTGAGTTATTATTTTAAGTAATTTAGTGTGTCAAACGGATTCAATTAAGTTTCTATAGAAAAATTGTAGGATTTAATATTTCTTTCGAAAATAATTATAGTATTCTTATGTGATTTATTGATTTAATTCGTTAAATGGACGGTCGGATGGATCTTTATGACACGCGGCGAAACGCCAACGGTGGAGGGTCGTTTCGTGCCCCGATTGCCGACCCGTCATCGCGTTCGTGGGGTCAATCGGCGCATAAGCACTCACATCAAGTGCCACCCCCGGTTGGGTGGGACACGGGAGTCGCAACGACGATTCCGCCATGAGGCATCATCGGAAACAATGGGCTTCGACTCGGCGTCCTTCGTTCGGCCAATCGGTGCAGCAACGAGTGGAGTACACGTCGATCGACAAACCCTAATGCGCTTAATTGACATTGGCAGTGGCAAGATATACTTGGTTAGCCAATCCTGCATATTTTGATGCACCCTAGTGAAGTATTTAATGATAGAAAGAGGTGGTGACAGTCTGTTTCTCACTCTAATCACTTCGTATCAAATCCAACTAGTTATGAGAAAAGGGAAAGCAAGAGAGAGAGAGAGAGAGAGATAGCATATAATAATGTCACCATTTGTTTCTATCATGAGATGTTTTTGAGGATAGAGACGAGCTCTTGTCTGATCTTGATCTTGGATTCCTGAATTGATGTTGGATTAACTGTTATGAAAGTTGCTTAGGAATATTATAATCCATAGAGAGATCTAAATATTATAAATATTGATATATGTAAAGATTGTGAGACCGAGACATAAAAAATTAATAATAAAAAATTTTAATTAATAGATAGGGATAGTCATGAAAATATTTTTTAAAAAATATTTAAAAATAATATATATATATATATATATATATATATATATATATATATTC